ACGAAAAGACCTTCAAGGTTGATCGACATGGCCGCGTCGAGATCGTCAGCGTTGATCGTCTCAAACCAGCACACGTCGATGACAGTGCCCTATCTGGTAACCTGAGATTCAATGCTAGACCTATCAAACCTAGCGGGATCCTTAAATCTTCTTCAGGTCCCACGCTAGATACATCTGAGACCTCATTCTCACGTCTCGGTCAACAGCACGCGTCATCTGCACCGTCTACGGACGAGACGATAGTCTCACGTCCAGATCAGCAGACCACGCCGCCTCTGACCTCGGATGAGATTGCAGGCTCACGCGATACGAACGAGACTGCCATCTCACGTTCCGGTCGCCGAGTACAGTTGCCCGTACGCTTCCGCGACTAGTCGCACAGTCAACAACCGATACGGTGTAGGTTTATTCCTATGCTACATGCATGCTACACTCCTCTTTTTTTGATTTTCTTTTTGTTTCCTGAGCCCACGCCTTCGACCATCTCCGTTTGGTTCCGTCGACTTCAGTCAACTTTGGCGAAAGCTGGCCTGATCAACCATGCTCTTGTCAACGTACTCAGTCGATATATTGGTTCCGAATGCTTGGCATACGCTTGGTCTCGAACTTGGTCGTTATGGTCGCTTCTGGTCTTTTGGCTCAACGTGGTTTCGTACTTCGTCTGCAGCGTTTATGGTCCGGACCCGTACGAACGCCCTCTTCAGATTCTGGATACAAACCACTCTGGTGTAGCATGCCAACTCAAGCAATAAATACAACACATCGCTCCTGGTACCGTTCTCCGATAACGACCTTCGTTGGCAACTCGACGATCAACGATCGCTTTCCTGTTCGCCAATTCTTCCGTCCTACAATCGCTCATCAGCCGATCAGTCCCACGATTCAAACCGCTATTTATCGAAAGTGTAAACCCTTTCTAGCGGGGGGCTCCTGTAGTGACTCACCATTTATCACGAGAACACGACTGGTTTAATAAAAACAATTATTATTATAACCAACTGTACCAGTGTTTGTTTTAACGTGCTTTTGTTTGACTGTGCTAATGACAGCTATTTTGTGCTTCCATTCTTTCGCTTACACCTCGATTGTAACTTCGCGCGAATTCGGTTACCTTCTGTAACCAAGCTTGTATCCTGGCACGATCTCGGTATCCTTTCGATGCCACGAGATCGCCAGCTAATAAACCTCGACTTGGTCCATTAATTGCCTTCTGGTATTCGGCTTCTCGGGGATTTTATGGAGTCATTTGGAACGAGCTTCTTACGCCTTCTGATTCGCTTGGCACGTGTTTCTTGGTAGCGGTGTTCATAGTTAATCTCAACTCGACGCCACGCTACAATTGGTAATCCCAACTCTTCTACAATTGGTGACCCGTATTTTGGAACACGCCTCAACTTCTGATCAAATCTTCCAAAGAAGCCAATTCGGTGAGTCTATGATTTATCTATCCACGTCTGTCGTATATTTTCATATTTTTTAATATATAATATACGCGACATGACGGATAACGATAAGAATAGTATTAATATAATAGACTCACACGTATGTGTACCGAATCCTTGTCACTTTTTATTCGCGTGATGATGAATTCCACGCTTTATTCGAGAAATGTTACCCTATTAACGATTCTCCTCGCTGACCCGGCTGCTTGGTACGGAATGTACACGCATAAGCATATCCGTCTACCACCCAGCACCAAATGGTTAAGTTGAACGGTTTCACTGCCAACTTAAAAGTGTTCTACGAGCACACGAAAACGGCAACTGGCACGAAACCATACCGCTCGTTCTTTTAGGGGCGAGAACGAGCTTAAAGGCAGATATCCAATGTTCCGCCACTGAACTTGTATACGGCACGACATTGCGTCTGCCCGGAGAATTCTTCACACCACGGAGCAGACCTAATTTCGGTAAATCAGACTACGTCCATCGACTGTCTGCATTTATGCGAACGCTGTCTCCGGTGTCAACTCGAATACAACATCGACAGGTCGCTCTCTCTCGAGAGTTATCTACCTGTTCACATGTTTTTGTACGAGTAGATTCGGTACGCAAACCTTGGCAACAACCTTACGAAGGCCCTTTTCACGTGATCGCTCGTCACGAAAAGACCTTCAAGGTTGATCGACATGGCCGCGTCGAGATCGTCAGCGTTGATCGTCTCAAACCAGCACACGTCGATGACAGTGCCCTATCTGGTAACCTGAGATTCAATGCTTGACCTATCAAACCTAGCGGGATCCTTAAATCTTCTTCAGGTCCCACGCTAGATACATCTGAGACCTCATTCTCACGTCTCGGTCAACAGCACGCGTCATCTGCACCGTCTACGGACGAGACGACAGTCTCACGTCCAGATCAGCAGACCACGCCGCCTCTGACCTCGGATGAGATTGCAGGCTCACGCGATACGAACGAGACTGCCATCTCACGTTCCGGTCGCCGAGTACAGTTGCCCGTACGCTTCCGCGACTAGTCGCACAGTCAACAACCGATACGGTGTAGGTTTATTCCTATGCTACATGCATGCTACACTCCTCTTTTTTTGATTTTCTTTTTGTTTCCTGAGCCCACGCCTTCGACCATCTCCGTTTGGTTCCGTCGACTTCAGTCAACTTTGGCGAAAGCTGGCCTGATCAACCATGCTCTTGTCAACGTACTCAGTCGATATATTGGTTCCGAATGCTTGGCATATGCTTGGTCTCGAACTTGGTCGTTATGGTCGCTTCTGGTCTTTTGGCTCAACGTGGTTTCGTCCTTCGTCTGCAGCGTTTATGGTCCGGACCCGTACGAACGCCCTCTTCAGATTCTGGATACAAACCACTCTGGTGTAGCATGCCAACTCAAGCAATAAATACAACACATCGCTCCTGGTACCGTTCTCCGATAACGACCTTCGTTGGCAACTCGACGATCAACGATCGCTTTCCTGTTCGCCAATTCTTCCGTCCTACAATCGCTCATCAGCTGATCAGTCCCATGATTCAAACCGCTATTTATCGAAAGTGTAAACCCTTTCTAGCGGGGGGCTCCTGTAGTGACTCACCATTTATCACGAGAACACGACTGGTTTAATAAAAACAATTATTATTATAACCAACTGTACCAGTGTTTGTTTTAACGTGCTTTTGTTTGACTGTGCTAATGACAGCTATTTTGTGCTTCCATTCTTTCGCTTACACCTCGATTGTAACTTCGCGCGAATTCGGTTACCTTCTGTAACCAAGCTTGTATCCTGGCACGATCTCGGTATCCTTTCGATGCCACGAGATCGCCAGCTAATAAACCTCGACTTGGTCCATTAATTGCCTTCTGGTATTCGGCTTCTCGGGGATTTTATGGAGTCATTTGGAACGAGCTTCTTACGCCTTCTGATTCGCTTGGCACGTGTTTCTTGGTAGCGGTGTTCATAGTTAACATCAACTCGACGCCACGCTACAATTGGTAATCCCAATTCGAATACAAGATCATAAAAATACAACTTGGAGTTGACCGAAGTAAGTGAAGTCCGTTGGATGATGAATTCCAAGAAGCACCATCATCAACAATGAATCTCTATTGATCCTTTGATCAAAATTCAAGAAAAGAAGAGTAGTCATCCCAAGAGCTATGCCTTTACTTTGACATACAACATGCATGCTAAACCATATGCATTTCCAAATGAACGTCATTTGTTCTGAATCGATTCATAAACAAACGTTTCAATTGAATGAATACTTAAGGTATACATGTATAAATCTATGATGGACTTCCGGTATTTTAGTAATCATTAGGTGCTAATGGTCACCGTTTTAACCTCGATCATATCATAAGTTAACCACAATCATTGTGACGTAGTAGTGTTGATAACACACTAAGAGCTACGTCAGCCTGCTTATGGATGTTTACAGTCACTGAACTCGTCTGATAGACATCCCAAAACACAAACTGTGAAAACGATCTGTTTTAACACGGTTAACAAATCAGGTTGTGCTGTTACATGTTCCGAAATACGAAACCGTGAACATTCAAAAGAACAAACAGTTTATTAACATGTCAAGCTAGTTTGTACTTTCCGGTAGAACATACTCACGCTATTCACTCTAACGTTGTCCATGTTCTATGCAAAGTAAGTCACCTGTTTCTGACCGCTTCGCTATCAGTATTCGACTTTAACTTGTTAGTTTGTTGAAACTAACTGCTGACATGTGGTATTTCGTTCGCTCATAGGTATTTCTCACGTGTGTTTCAACCAGGCGACCAATATTCGCAAGCGTAAGTTACTTCATCCACCGACGAACTTCCGTACACTTGTAATTGATATCTTCATTTGATCAATCGGTGGTTATTATGTGCATAATCCGTCACCTATTAGGCAGTAATAACAGTCTGTATACTCAAGTTCGCAATTTCAGATAAACATGACATTTATATTTTCTGGTGTTCCTCACCGGGAACCATCTGTTACATATCTGATTGTATCAATTCACAAAGATTTACCAACTAATCGTTTGATAAATCCTATGTTAGACTTTGAATTACATGTTTGATTTACTCTCCATTAAGAGTTTCATAGACGAAAAGAGTGTAATGTGATGTTTTTAACACTCCAATAACTTTCAGTACAATCGCATATACGAATTTCGGAATATTACATTTCAATAGACTGATAAATACTATATCTCCATGTGTGCCTGTTATCTAGTAGGAACTAAGGCTCCCTGACCACACTGCAATTCGATCGATAGAAATCGATATGCATTAAGAAGCACCAGACATCCATGACATTGGTCACCACCCGGAGAACAATATGAGGAAAAGTGTTCATCTACCAGTTCACTGTGAAAATGAAAATAATGAGAGTGACCACCCCTCACATTGTCTCCAATATCAAAGGATGTTTACGTTCTTATTTGATTTATCCAATGCTCTTCCTTGAAGCAACAAACTGATGCTGATAACGTATAAATTTATCAAATCAATGAGACACGTGACTATCGAAATGAACTAATAACCTAACCATCACCAATCAAAAAAACGTAAAGCGTGATCAGATAACCCTACTTCAATAGCATGAAGTGCTTCTTTCACATTGAAATACTTCGGATGATGCACATTGCGCTTTCTCATTTTCACACTTGACTTCACGTTAGACATTGGAATTACATCACTACTATTCGACAAAACATAACGTTCATTCAACATATCATTCATATGATTCTCACTATTTATTGTAAATGGAATTTGTATATCGAGAAGTCCGTAGTTTAACGGTGTTTGAAACAGACGAACTGATGGTTGGAATCCAGACAATCTTACATAATTTGTTATTCTCAAATCATTCAATTGATCAACACATTGAAGCCACTTCTGCTCCGACTTCGTACATGTGCTCAACATTTTCATGTGAAAAAAAACATCACTACTGAAAAATCCCTCTCCCACTGAATTGTTGGTTGTGTAATTATGATACAGAATAATTGATGGTATTTGAAAGAACAACACAGTCAATATGAAAACTGTAGTCAATTTCTTAGAAAAATATATTCCACAAAGTTTATATCTTGTCATAGTCATCAGGATTTAATGCTACTTGAATGTTGTTAGCATTTATATTCTAATTATTATACATCATTTATAGGTATCAATGAGAAAACCTCTTAACTCACACACTAACTTCATTGATTCCAATTTAGTATGTAGATAAATAGCGATACAGAGATTGTGCCATTAGTGCACTGGTTTCTAATTTGAACGCATAGTTTCATCTAACTAAATCAATATCATAAGTCAGAAGTATTCTCAAGTGAACTTTTAGTATATTTTCTGAATTTAAGTCTACAACAATGTATAATCCTTGTACGTTGTCTTTATTCTAAATTAAAATCAGAAAATCTAATAAATAAGAAGAGAAGAATGAAGATGAATTTCAGAAGAATCTTAACCAAATGAATAGGAAGACAGGAATCAACAAATACCAAACAAAATGAAGTGAAGAATGTGAATCAGGAGACTACAAGGAAGCACATCTCATCAAGATAACAAAGAGAGTAGATCTCAGCAAGTGCGAGAATAGGTGAGGCATCATACTACAGTCACTACCAGCAAATGATTTCATCAGAGTGTTGTTGAACCGGATGGATGCTTCAGTAGACGTCCAACTGTGAGATCAACACTCCGGATTGCGTGAGGACAGACTGTGGGCACCAACCGAATCACACTTGATGGAGAAGCTGTGGGAGAGGTGCAATGCTCTACATACCTGATTAGCACCATCAATAAACAAACAAAATCTGACGCACGTGTGAAGGCACAAATTGGCAAAGCACGTCCAACATAACCACGATCGAAGAACATCTACTACTCAAAACAACTACCGGTCAGCATCAAAGTCACAATCTTCAATACAAACGTCAACACAATTCTATTTAGGACAGTTTGTGATTTCGTCCTCAACCAGTCTGGTCTTATCGTTGAGTGTTCGTCAGGCTTCCGGAAGTCTACCGACTATTTAGGAACAGGTTTGATTACTGCTCGTGTTGTTTCAGCACCAAATTCAATTGTCTATTTATCACCAACACCTCCAACATCACACCAACTAAATCGAACTACTTTTCATAAATCCAGTTTCGTTGTTACGCTTTTCCAATCGCATCCATCACCTTCACTCAAACACATCCAATAACACTGTTCGCTCAAAATCACATCCATCCATATTATCTGTGATGAGAGTTCTAGGAAATTTCCACGATATTTACCAACAACAACAACAACACCAAACGGTTCAGTTTGCAGACGATCGAAGGTCTCAATTACCCATTCTAACTACTACGTACTTATCAGTAGTCACACGATTTTAGGCTAATGTGACTTCATCATGAACGTGCTATATGAAGTTGGAGAGCCATAACAGTAAACTCTCTGCATATCTGTTCTTCTGTGATACCACTCAATAAGCTACAAAATCCATCAATTTCATCACATCAAACCAATTCTATAGACTTCAATGAAGCTGTGAAGCACGTTGAAATGAAAAACATTAATGACCTAGTCTATTTCAGAAAATTCAGTGCCCACAAATCTATTCATTCATAGGCAACTACACTATCACTGATATGAGATTGAACACATCGATTTATTACCATAATCATGTAGCACATCACCATCTTCATGTTCGTTAAATTGCAGCTTTAGGAAAAGTGGTTTATTAGTAGCCGTTGATGTCGCTATTTCCCTATTTGTTACATGCAAATGTTTCTTCTCGTCGATAACTCATTTCAATCAACATATTATGTATGAGATCTAATTCCTCATTTATTCTATCGACTGAGCATATCTTCCTAGTTCTACTTGCAAGACATTTCTATCCCACTGTTATCATTGACTCATAAACTGCCTTGATTGGTTTAGTAATTACATCTATGCATATAAATATTACTGCATATTACAGTTAAGCTTGATGAATATCTAGTAGAAAATAATATTGTTCCAAATGAAAAGCATTAATGACCTAGTCAATTTAGCTGTGTGATTCAACTCGTCAATAGAACAACATGAAATAACAAACTAAATCATATAATGATTTCAACGTAAATTTCACTTCTCAACTGTAATTCGATTTCATTGTTCCTATGGAGTTATAGAAACGGTGATTGATATCCAGTGTAAAACCAAGTTTGAGTGATAGACATATTACTTCTTAATGACCTCTTCACCCGAGACGGTTGTTTCACTAGTTGTCTTCATTTGACGATCTTAATGAAATACCTTAATAACTTCATCTGATTTTCAAATGTTTGTGGCTTCACGCCAGAGCGCTCACAGTAGTCGACCGTAAAACGTAAAGAAAAATGCAAAAAAGGTGTTAACAAAAAGCTCATTTATTTGGCAATATTTAAAATCCTTTGATAATTAGTCACTGACTGTCATCACTTCCTATAATTTAATATGAACAACCGTTTTTTTATTTGGGTTACTTTAAGAACTAGACAAAACTGATATTGCATATGCATTCCTGAGGGCAAAATAATTCACTAGAGCTCCTTATGAAACATAACTTTATCATTATTGAACGATTATTACTGACACAGTTTGAAGATTTTTCAAGTTGAACTTTCCGACTGAAAACTTTTGATTATTCAACTCGATTTAATCAAGCATTAATCGATATTTATAGCCGAAAAACACAAGCTACAGAAATGTGATGAATAGGATAGGAAGTGCACTTATAGTCTCTCATATAAAAACAGTCAAGGTTGATAAACGAGTAATTAACACGGTCAAAATATGGCTCACGTAGAATGAACGGATTGGCCTACAACTCACTGACCGAGATCAGCTACCTCAGCGCTTTCATTAAGAAGTACATGTATTATATAATAAAGAAGTCGGAGATTTCGACTGTTCGTAAGAAACCTTTATACATGAAAGTGCAATTCAACGGGGATGTGGCTAGTGACACTCTGAAATATAGGTTAACCAAAGTAATCACCAGGACATTCTATGCAGCCAATCTTGCGTTGACCTTCTCTTGTCGACCAGCGATGTCTACTCAAACGAAGGATAAGTTACCTGAGTTGGCCTCTTCCATGTGCATTATTTGTTTGTAATTTTCCACCTCTTTGTATTCTTCACTATCTAATTATTTACACACATCTTATTACGTAATGATTTTAATGTTTTGTGATTACTATTCCTAGTCTATTTACCCATGTTTGTTTGACCTACTATTTCCAACGATTAACTATTGTCACAGATTGAAATCATGAGTCAGTCGAAGCTAGACCACCATTGAAAACCTGGAAGCACTGGACGGCCGTTTCGTCCTAGTATGGGACTCCTCAGTAGTGCGCATCCACGATCCCGCACCACGCGGGGCTCGAACCCAGGACCTACTGGCTTCGCGCGCGAGCACTTAACCGTTCGACCACTGAGCAGGCATCCATCGGTGTTAATGTCTAACTTCAACCAATCCGCGAAGTACAACGGAGTACAACCAGGTCTGTTGTGAGATATCAGGTCACTCAAGACAATGGTATATGGTGACGCAACTTCGTGGATTGGTTGAAGTTAGACATTAACACCGTTGGATGCCGGCTAGCTCAGTGGTCGAATGGCTAAGTGCTCGCGCGCGAAGCCAGTAGGTCCTGGGTTCGAGCCCCGCGTGGTGCGGGATCGTGGATGCGCACTGCTGAGGAGTCCCATACTAGGACGAAACGGCCGTCCAGTGCTTCCAGGTTTTCAATGGTGGTCTAGCTTCGACTGACTCATGATTTCAATCTGTGAAAATTTCTAAAAAATCTTCACAAACCCCTTCTGATTAACTATTGGTAAGAGTTTTGTTATTGTATTTTATTATTCTTACTATTATCAGTTCACCTGTCTTCCTACTACTATAAACTTGTACTTTTACCTATTATGTGTAGAGACTTATTCTATTTCATTGTGATTATTGACCCATATTGCCTTGATTGGTTTAAAATTATTTTTTTTAAAAATTATTTCAAGTTTCGACTACATTGATCAGCCTTCATAATGTTGAGAATAATTAATTATTTATTGTTTATGAATTAGTGATACCTGTGTTTACCTGGTAGAGTGATTGTTGAACTATTCTTTCTGATTACAATAAAAGTCGTAATTATTTTCCTAGATTCCTAGACTTAAAAGTAACACTTTCATTTTCATTATGTTTCAAATAATTTAAATAGTTGCCACATATTTCGTAAAATCAGGTTTCTAAGCATTTGATTTTATCTACAATAAATTTCCTCAGGGTGATGTTGTTAGTGAATCGCATCTTTTCACTTTAGAAGTTTCATAAAAAGCATTTTGTTTGATTAGTGAATAGGTTTTTTATTCCAATTAACAAATAATACGTAAGGACAGAATGTACACGATGGTTACTTATTTAATAAAGTTTAACGAAGACAAACAAATAAAGTAACAGCGTAGAATAATGTATTAGTATAAAAATAATTTTAGAAAATATATTGAACAATTGCATTGCATTCGGAAACACTTTAACAAAATAAGTTGATTAAGTATTCCAAAAGTTGATTCGACAGTACATACTGAGATCACAACATTATTTGATAAGCTATTTGTTTGATACACAATTATTTCACGTTAACTAATGCATTAGTTCATTCAGACGGAGTACTCAACAGGTTAAGAGTATCATTTATGTCAAAATAAGTTAAAATGAAAATAAAACTGTGAATTTTCATCCAATTACCGTAGAAAAATGTAATTAATAGTTCATAATGTCGCCAGTTTTCCAATTAATAACATCACCCGCAATATCTATATCGATAATGACTAGACAAGATTTATTTTCCGGTATTGATTCATCCAACGAAAACTCCTTCATATTAGTCAGTGTCCTGTTTAGTCGACTCAACACAATTCCTAAAAATGAGTCATCTATACGAATGCTTTGTGTGAAAGCCATAGCCACAGAAGCATCACTGACAATATCTGAACCCAACAAATAACCTATTCCATAGAAGTAGGGTGGATAGTAATCCCATGGGTATTCATTCACTGAAATCGACCATTTCAAATCGAACTTCTCCTTTGACGGTCTTGCCACTACACTTGTATAATGCACAAAACCTCCTACGGTCGATCTCGAAACAGAAGCATTCAGACTCCTGACAAGTCGAATAGTGTTTTCAGGCAGTAATGCATAATCGTCATCAACGAACAGATACAATGGTGTTTGTCCCTTACAAAATGTAGCAGCCCATCGATATGACAATATCATCTTGGACGTCAAGTTGAAATACGTATCATGAAATGACCCGACCAACATATCATTGAATTTTCCACTCTCGTCACTCAGCTTCTTAGCAGCAATCCATCGTGAGCTCTCGTAAAGTTTAGAGAGTTCAGAAGCCTTCCGACCAAGATTCACAGTGACTCCGTCGAAATGATACACATCCGTTTCATTTGGGGTTGGCAATCCAACAACGAAAACAAATCGAATTCGGAAATCTTTCCACAGGTGTGATTTCATGTAGGTGTCTCGAGCGTACGATCGTTTGTCAAAGCAATAGATACACGACTTCACTATTACTATGAGATCCAGACTTTCTGGTGGTTTGGTGGGACTGCAAGCACTCGTTGGTAGTTGTACAACAATGATCGATCCTCCGTTGACCGGCTTCTGGAATAGAGAATGAAAGAAACCACGGAAATATCACATTGGTGAACTGGTAGATGACAATCAATTTCTACATGAGATATGTATCAACGGCAAGTGCTGTAAAATACACTGTTCTTGTTTGAGTGGATCTTTTACTGAAGTGTTTACTCCAGCCAACACTAAAAACGTGGGAGATACTAGGAAGTCATCAGATGCATCATTTATGTTAGTTGTAATCACTAGAATGCATCACTATTCAAAACCAAGTATCAATAACAATTTAGTCATCCCAAGAGCTATGCCTTTACTTTGACATACAACATGCATGCTAAACCATATGCATTTCCAAATGAACGTCATTTGTTCTGAATCGATTCATAAATAAACGTTTCAATTGAATGAATACTTAAGGTATACATGTATAAATCTATGATGGACTTCCGGTATTTTAGTAATCATTAGGTGCTAATGGTCACCGTTTTAACCTCGATCATATCATAAGTTAACCACAATCATTGTGACGTAGTAGTGTTGATAACACACTAAGAGCTACGTCAGCCTGCTTATGGATGTTTACAGTCACTGAACTCGTCTGATAGACATCCCAAAACACAAACTGTGAAAACGATCTGTTTTAACACGGTTAACAAATCAGGTTGTGCTGTTACATGTTCCGAAATACGAAACCGTGAACATTCAAAAGAACAAACAGTTTATTAACATGTCAAGCTAGTTTGTACTTTCCGGTAGAACATACTCACGCTATTCACTCTAACGCTGTCCATGTTCTATGCAAAGTAAGTCACCTGTTTCTGACCGCTTCGCTATCAGTATTCGACTTTAACTTGTTAGTTTGTTGAAACTAACTGCTGACATGTGGTATTTCGTTCGCTCATAGGTATTTCTCACGTGTGTTTCAACCAGGCGACCAATATTCGCAAGCGTAAGTTACTTCATCCACCGACGAACTTCCGTACACTTGTAATTGATATCTTCATTTGATCAATCGGTGGTTATTATGTGCATAATCCGTCACCTATTAGGCAGTAATAACAGTCTGTATACTCAAGTTCGCAATTTCAGATAAACATGACATTTATATTTTCTGGTGTTCCTCACCGGGAACCATCTGTTACATATCTGATTGTATCAATTCACAAAGATTTACCAACTAATCGTTTGATAAATCCTATGTTAGACTTTGAATTACATGTTTGATTTACTCTCCATTAAGAGTTTCATAGACGAAAAGAGTGTAATGTGATGTTTTTAACACTCCAATAACTTTCAGTACAATCGCATATACGAATTTCGGAATATTACATTTCAATAGACTGATAAATACTATATCTCCATGTGTGCCTGTTATCTAGTAGGAACTAAGGCTCCCTGACCACACTGCAATTCGATCGATAGAAATCGATATGCATTAAGAAGCACCAGACATCCATGACATTGGTCACCACCCGGAGAACAATATGAGGAAAAGTGTTCATCTACCAGTTCACTGTGAAAATGAAAATAATGAGAGTGACCACCCCTCACATTGTCTCCAATATCAAAGGATGTTTACGTTCTTATTTGATTTATCCAATGCTCTTCCTTGAAGCAACAAACTGATGCTGATAACGTATAAATTTATCAAATCAATGAGACACGTGACTATCGAAATGAACTAATAACCTAACCATCACCAATCAAAAAAACGTAAAGCGTGATCAGATAACCCTACTTCAATAGCATGAAGTGCTTCTTTCACATTGAAATACTTCGGATGATGCACATTGCGCTTTCTCATTTTCACACTTGACTTCACGTTAGACATTGGAATTACATCACTACTATTCGACAAAACATAACGTTCATTCAACATATCATTCATATGATTCTCACTATTTATTGTAAATGGAATTTGTATATCGAGAAGTCCGTAGTTTAACGGTGTTTGAAACAGACGAACTGATGGTTGGAATCCAGACAATCTTACATAATTTGTTATTCTCAAATCATTCAATTGATCAACACATTGAAGCCACTTCTGCTCCGACTTCGTACATGTGCTCAACATTTTCATGTGAAAAAAAACATCACTACTGAAAAATCCCTCTCCCACTGAATTGTTGGTTGTGTAATTATGATACAGAATAATTGATGGTATTTGAAAGAACAACACAGTCAATATGAAAACTGTAGTCAATTTCTTAGAAAAATATATTCCACAAAGTTTATATCTTGTCATAGTCATCAGGATTTAATGCTACTTGAATGTTGTTAGCATTTATATTCTAATTATTATACATCATTTATAGGTATCAATGAGAAAACCTCTTAACTCACACACTAACTTCATTGATTCCAATTTAGTATGTAGATAAATAGCGATACAGAGATTGTGCCATTAGTGCACTGGTTTCTAATTTGAACGCATAGTTTCATCTAACTAAATCAATATCATAAGTCAGAAGTATTCTCAAGTGAACTTTTAGTATATTTTCTGAATTTAAGTCTACAACAATGTATAATCCTTGTACGTTGTCTTTATTCTAAATTAAAATCAGAAAATCTAATAAATAAGAAGAGAAGAATGAAGATGAATTTCAGAAGAATCTTAACCAAATGAATAGGAAGACAGGAATCAACAAATACCAAACAAAATGAAGTGAAGAATGTGAATCAGGAGACTACAAGGAAGCACATCTCATCAAGATAACAAAGAGAGTAGATCTCAGCAAGTGCGAGAATAGGTGAGGCATCATACTACAGTCACTACCAGCAAATGATTTCATCAGAGTGTTGTTGAACCGGATGGATGCTTCAGTAGACGTCCAACTGTGAGATCAACACTCCGGATTGCGTGAGGACAGACTGTGGGCACCAACCGAATCACACTTGATGGAGAAGCTGTGGGAGAGGTGCAATGCTCTACATACCTGATTAGCACCATCAATAAACAAACAAAATCTGACGCACGTGTGAAGGCACAAATTGGCAAAGCACGTCCAACATAACCACGATCGAAGAACATCTACTACTCAAAACAACTACCGGTCAGCATCAAAGTCACAATCTTCAATACAAACGTCAACACAATTCTATTTAGGACAGTTTGTGATTTCGTCCTCAACCAGTCTGGTCTTATCGTTGAGTGTTCGTCAGGCTTCCGGAAGTCTACCGACTATTTAGGAACAGGTTTGATTACTGCTCGTGTTGTTTCAGCACCAAATTCAATTGTCTATTTATCACCAACACCTCCAACATCACACCAACTAAATCGAACTACTTTTCATAAATCCAGTTTCGTTGTTACGCTTTTCCAATCGCATCCATCACCTTCACTCAAACACATCCAATAACACTGTTCGCTCAAAATCACATCCATCCATATTATCTGTGATGAGAGTTCTAGGAAATTTCCACGATATTTACCAACAACAACAACAACAACAACAACAACAACAACACCAAACGGTTCAGTTTGCAGACGATCGAAGGTCTCAATTACCCATTCTAACTACTACGTACTTATCAGTAGTCACACGATTTTAGGCTAATGTGACTTCATCATGAACGTGCTATATGAAGTTGGAGAGCCATAACAGTAAACTCTCTGCATATCTGTTCTTCTGTGATACCAATCAATAAGCTACAAAATCCATCAATTTCATCACATCAAACCAATTCTATAGACTTCAATGAAGCTGTGAAGCACGTTGAAATGAAAAACATTAATGACCTAGTCTATTTCAGAAAATTCAGTGCCCACAAATCTATTCATTCATAGGCAACTACACTATCACTGATATGAGATTGAACACATCGATTTATTACCATAATCATGTAGCACATCACCATCTTCATGTTCGTTGAATTGCAGCTTTAGGAAAAGTGGTTTATTAGTAGCCGTTGATGTCGCTATTTCCCTATTTGTTACATGCAAATGTTTCTTCTCGTCGATAACTCATTTCAATCAACATATTATGTATGAGATCTAATTCCTCATTTATTCTATCGACTGAGCATATCTTCCTAGTTCTACTTGCAAGACATTTCTATCCCACTGTTATCATTGACTCATAAACTGCCTTGATTGGTTTAGTAATTACATCTATGCATATAAATATTACTGCATATTACAGTTAAGCTTGATGAATATCTAGTGGAAAATAATATTGTTCCAAATGAAAAGCATTAATGACCTAGTCAATTTAGCTGTGTGATTCAACTCGTCAATAGAACAACATGAAATAACAAACTAAATCATATAATGATTTCAACGTAAATTTCACTTCTCAACTGTAATTCGATTTCATTGTTCCTATGGAGTTATAGAAACGGTGATTGATATCCAGTGTAAAACTCAGTTTGAGTGATACACATATTACCTCACAATGATGTCTTCACTCAAGAATTTTGTGTTGAGTCGGCTTTCGGAGAACTTCAACGGAGCCTCTAGAGTCCCAAGAAGGAGCTGAAGAGTCCTAGCCAATCACAGCGCGACGGAGCATTCTAGAATTCCAACGTGGCGTGCTACTATTCGTCAGTAGCACAATATTTCGCTAACGGATTGGCCGAAATATGATGTTGATTTAACAAACGCTAACATCTATAAATACCCATGATTTTCTGCACAAAAACGAAACTCGGAGTAAGGTATTTCTCTCATACTTTGCATCTTCTCTCTGGTGTTCAGGGCGCTGTGTAGTTCTAGCTTGCGAGTTATAAATATTGGATCAATCTTTTGTAGCAAATAATGAAGCTTAATAGAAATCCATTCTATATCATCGTTTCGCATCTGCTACTCACATCCGTATGCGTATGTGTGAATAAACAAGTATTAGGTCATTGGACGTTGGGATTAAACAACAGAAGAGGGGGTTGAAGCATTAATAATATAGCGTCCAGATACTGATAAGATGAATCGTGTGACGATTTGTTGGAATATTCAGGAAAATATCACAAAAATTATCCTGTTAAGCCTAATGCTATCCTTGGACATGAAATGGTATCATCTTATTGGTCAATATTTAGTTAACGTGTTATTTTCCTGTTGGCCATTATTGTACAATGTTATTTTCTATTTTATGGTACGTTGTGATCTGCTTGACTGGTATATAAACAAAGTATGTTTGAAATATAATGATTCATATATCCGAGGCTGTGACTTGCGTTCTGGACTGATCTGGCTGGGCTAGACAGGGAAGCGAGACCAATCAGAACCCTAGGTCGTTCTACGTGTTTGCGCGTCTTTGGTCCGAGCAATAATTCGCTACCCTTAATCCGCAGCAAATATTTTTCACGTTATAACACGATTATAGAGGAATTGATGAGTTCATGTAAGTTTCGGATCACTTGAATAAACACATATAAAAGGCACACTGTTATGGGATCGCAATTATCTAGAATTCGGAGTAGATATAAATAGTTACGCAATAATTTTAGAAGATTTGAAGAGTCCACGTTTGTTTAGATGAATGAAAAATTTATTTTAGTGTTCATAAAATAATATTTAGTTTGGTGAATATTGCATATCAAAATTAGGACAATAATAACAAAGTTATTATTAACATTATTGCACGTGATTCCAATCAAAATTGTCAATCTTCCAAGGTTATGATAAATTCACTACTGTCTCTTTCTGGACACATAAATCTGGTTTGAGTTTTCTAATTGCTACTGCTTCACGAAGGTGAACAGAAGCTGTATTATGTTGTCACCTGATTATTTCAGAAGATTCGTAAACGTGAGCAAAACAGCCGCTGTCAGTAAAATCTTGAGCTATTGCACTCTTTAGAGATGTTGCACCTCTCACTGTCAAATTCTTTGTAAAGCGTGCTTGAAGTGACATTGTCTCAAACATTCGTATAAGCTAACTGTTGAATGTCATGATGATTGGTGAATCTCATAGTTTTACATTACTGACTGACCATATACCTACTTGTGACTAACTCGAAAAGATAATTTACTAAGTTCTAGTGAGAACCCGTGACCATTCGATCTCAGGGGAGTCTTGTATGAGAAAAATATCACCAACGGTATTGGATATTACGAAATGACTTAAGTAAAACAAGTGCACTAATGCGTGTCTGATCAGATGGTGGTTTGGAAGTTCAACCTGATAGTCCAAATTTTGGTCGGTCTTGAGGTAGTCGGATATGCACTGCTGGAGAGTCTCAAAAATGAATGTGACAGCCAATCAGTCTCTTCTGATTTTCAGTTTGTCACTAAATATTTCACTAAGATCAGTCCATAAAGTGGGATTATAGAATCAGTAAAACTGTTGGTCTCTCTCTCATAAAAACTCACTTCAGGTATCAACACATTTTCGAAAGTGAAACTCGGGTGAGATAACCGGTAACGTTGTACAAAAACGGAAGAATAATCACTCTCAAATTGGACAAATACAGTGCTCTTCCAGACAAGCTGCCTAATGGTGATTATACAGAAATTTACTAATCGAGTAAACAATTTAATATTCAACATCTATATAAACTAATAGAATGTTTACAATCAGTCAAACAACTTACTGCGTCATCAGATAACCCTACTTCAATAGCATGAAGTGCTTCTTTCACATTGAAATACTTCGGATGATGCACATTGCGCTTTCTCATTTTCACACTTGACTTCACGTTAGACATTGGAATTACATCACTACTATTCGACAAAACATAACGTTCATTCAACATATCATTCATATGATTCTCACTATTTATTGTAAATGGAATTTGTATATCGAGAAGTCCGTAGTTTAACGGTGTTTGAAACAGACGAACTGATGGTTGGAATCCAGACAATCTTACATAATTTGTTATTCTCAAATCATTCAATTGATCAACACATTGAAGCCACTTTTGCTCCGACTTCGTACATATGCTCAACATTTTCATGTGAAAAAAAACATCACTACTGAAAAATCCCTCTCCCACTGAATTGTTGGTTGTGTAATTATGATACAGAATAATTGATGGTATTTGAAAGAACAACACAGTCAATATGAAAACTGTAGTCAATTTCTTAGAAAAATATATTCCACAAAGTTTATATCTTGTCATAGTCATCAGGAATTATTGCGATTTGAATGTTGTTAACACCCGTTTTCTAATTGTTATACACTACTCTACACGTGTTTTTATTACGGTAATCGATTTCGTTAAATGTATTCGACCTATGTGCTGTTAGTTTTTATGCGTACTCTCACATTAATATTTGACAGTCGTAATAATGTATAGTTAGTGAGCATAAAATAAAATCGAACTTACTTAAAACTAACATGTGCACGGGACATGTTTTTCATTTGTTCAATGGAAAGGATTTTTATTTTAACTTCAATATTGTATAGATTTATTTGCTATTACCTAGCAGAACTCAAAACGATTTTACATATGGGTTATAACCTTTAGCTTAATTCCACGTCATCACTATATGTCAGTTATGTCACGTATTATCATCAGCTGTTTTCTCATTCAACCAAATTAATGTGAAATATAACGAATAAAGTGAAAGAAACCATGGTAGTTTTTATGAAATATAGGGATTGAGAGTGTTTTCAACAACAATCTATGAATGTTTCTGTAGACAGAGTCTTTAGATGACTGTTACAAGGCATATAACGTTTAGGATGATTAACACTTTGTCTAACACTGTGAACACTGTGAAGTTATAATTGGAAAAATGCTCAAATTGTTTACACCGTGTTAAAATTGTGATGGATTTTAAATTCGTACCACAGAAGTATATGTATTTCCAATTCCATTTAACAATGACTAACTCAGTCAAAATAAAATGAAAGGGTTCACAAAATTAAATTCTCAAAGCTATGATAGATCTAAAACTCCTTTTTAAATCCATAAATTTGTTTCGAATATTGTAATACCAAATTCTGCTGCAAAAGACGTTGCACTGTATCATTTATTAACCATTCAAATACGTTCGCGCATAAGTTGATGTTGAACAGAAAATATACAACATTTAAACTATTGGAAATTTTTTTCTAGAATAAATATCTTTCTATCTTTGCATACTCATATGACCATAGTATAGAAATAGACATAATAGTTATGCAGCCAATAAGTTTTTATTAATTGAGTCTTTACATCAAGGTTAGAAGCGATCATGAACGAAGTATTGATGTTATCAGTCATCTTTATCGATAGATAATCGTTGAAGTGTTATTAGGACAAAGATATTTGACAAGTGAACACCTTTTAATACTTCTGTTTTCATGTTTCAAATGAGTGTTAGATCTTTCATTGTACAAGTTAATAAACGAATTCTGATTATTAACTAATAGTAGTTAATAGTAGATTAACAACTATGAGGAACTCTTCAAAAATATAATCAGACTTAGGTGACATCACACAATGTTATTCATTATTAAAATAATCCTAAAAACATGTTTCCCAGTTTTAGTTAATTGTTTCTATCAATTTTATTGAATCTATATATGATATTATATTGATAGTAAAAGTTCATGTGCATTCATCTTCACTTTTCCTACTTGCTCCACAAATGTTTTTCAGTTTGAACATACCATGTAATAAGTGTGAATAATATTCACTGATAATGCTATACTCATGTTCGAGAACTCAATGATTTGACTAGTCTGTACCGTAGCATAGATGTTAATTTACAGCTTTCTTTGTGAAGATTGTATTTGATAGATCGCTAATATTAAATCTAACAATATATATTAAAGCTAACAAAGTTTAAAACGTGCTTTGGAAACTGTTCAGTTTTATACAGAAATGAAAAGGACCATAACATTATCTGTTCATATGCATGTTTTGATGAGTCAGAATAAATTATTATATATACTGTCCTATTCTAAAGAAAACATTTTAATCATGCATCTACGGAGGTTAATTTCAGACTCTTTAGCAGCGCGTATTGACAACAATGTACACAGGGATAGAACCCAGGACATTTATTTTCAAGCATGAACTCTTAAGCTCTAGACCGATGAGCCGGCATTTTATTAATTCATGATAATGTCATAAAGGGGGGAAGGTTTAGCATTCTACAATCTGATATGGCAAGACAATCAGAAGTAGCCTAATGAGAAGGTCAATCGATTGCAATCAGAAGTGACCTGAAAGAGGAGTGTATTTCATTAGCTAAGAGGTGGATTGATTTCCTAAGGGATGGAGTTGTGTGTTTTTGATGGAGTTTTGTTTTTTGTGCAAACTTCAGGTAGAAATGAAGTGTTAGAATTCCAGTCGAATATGTGTCCACAGAATGTTCAGATCTTGGATAGAGGCAATTTTTAAAAGCTTGACACTCAGACCAATCAGCAACCAACAAACACATTGAAATAGATCCAATTTATCAACCAATCAGAAAAACTATCGACAAATATAGGACAAAAAGTCAAATCAATGGGAGATACAACCAAAATGAAGAAGTAAACAATGACAGGTTAAAGGTCAACAATAACCAATTAAGATCGCGGTCTGTGAGCTATATGTGGAGAAATTCGAACACTTCACTTCTACTTGAAGTTTGTAATGATAATGTCTTTCAGAAGAACGATGAAAGCTCCACGACCAAACCATGCAGCTTGAGGAACAAAACTCCATCAAAATTATCCACCTAAGATGAATATCTTCTCCACTATCTCAGAGTTGTAGTATATAAATGAGTATTCATATATTTTGTTTGCCAGTCCAATGTACTTTTTCGCTCACTTTTGTAATCTCATCCAAGTAGTCAGTTAGGGGGTTGACGAGTGGCATGAAGGCCTATATTTTGAAGAACGATCAACAAAATTGAAATTTCCATTGATATTCTCAATGACTATCTCAGATAACGACTGTGAAAGTAAATTAACCACTTTACTGTTCAAGGAAATGAGAAATAGTATTATTTGCAAAATGTTCCAAGTTATTAGGCAATTTTATTTACGTTCAGTCACATTTTCGGTATCATAAGTATATTAAAGGAATTTTGAGTGAATGAACTCTACTGAACAATTATACCAACAATGTTATTACCTGTTTTTCAGTTACTTCTTCAATCTGCCCAAATAATCTCTTTCTTTGTTAAACATTTTCCTGAATCTTCATCGGTTTCAGATAGATGAGTCTTGATCTGACAGCTATAACTAGTAGTTTTAATTTCGATACCTGGATATCATATTTCCCATTTAAATTTTAAGCATGGCCATCACAAGATACAAATCTTGGGATGAAGATTTATTTAATAGAGACTAAAGAAGACTGATATCAGCAAATAGTGAACTTGTATAAATATATACAGGGTCTCTGAAAATGATCATAAACTTTAGGGAACAAAATGAGGCACCGAGAAATACTCAAACAGTAACTAAAAATGGACGATGGATTGCTTGAAGAGATCTGATGCTAAAGATAAGATACAAATTTTACAAATGAAAATAATAGTCACCAGTAAATAAATGAATATCTGAAGATTTATTAGGTGGAAAAAGTTTCGGGTAAGTTATTCATAGCACAAAAATAATTCAATGTCTCATTCTACCAGCATCCTTGCTCAAAATAGGCTTCATTAAAAACAAATCGGTACAAAGATTCGACAAACCTGTGAGAAATTAATCCAAATACAAATTACTACAATGATGATAAAAAAATAAACATTCAAAATATAAAAATGGATAAAAATTGCATGTATTACGTTTAGGTTTTTGTTTATTCAGATAATTAATGTAAGAATCTATATACGAATCAGTTTAAATCATTATTACTTTTATCACACATACAATTGATTAACTTTTGATCCATCTCCATGATAACAGTTGTTGTTTTTTTTACATTTAATTTATCATTTTTTATAGATTTACTGTGAGAACTATCTGATATGGTATGCGGGATTTGTTACTTTAATATTCTATCATTTGTTGCTGATTAAGTGACTTCTGCTATAGTATACCAGTAAGATTTAGATCTGACATAATATGACTTCTAATTTGAAGAACTAATTGCAAATTAATAAGAGTTTAATTAACCTATCATCTTAGCTCATCATTTGTTTCAGTTATGATAAGCACCATGTGATGATGACAGTTTGTTGATTATTATGCATAGATTGTGAACATTTGATGATTAATGGAGAAATTTGAATTCTTGACACAAATTTTAACATGAACTTGAACCAGAAATCAGGATAATTGATCCATAATTCTTATTTCTTTGTTTAATAAAGTAACTCAATGACATAGGAAATATTGAATACAAAAATAGTTCATGGTCATAAAATGTATAAATTGGTTTGTATGACACGCTCTTATGATCTTCTCAATAGTCGATAACATTATGAACTGACTATTAAAATTAGTTCTTATTAGCCAGACAGCATTTGCATGTCTATAATATAAATTTATTCAGATGACTAATATAAGATTATTTATAACTGAATATTTACAGAAAGAAAGACTAATTTATTATTGTGGTTTAAGCAAACAGTAAACCAGCGCTTGATTTTTGTATAATAACTGCTCCTGATGCTTCGAAATTTGTATCAGTGTATACTCTGAACCCTTTAAGTTGATTGAGCTTCTTGCTCAATCTCGCCAAAACAATCCCAAGGTATGCATCATCAATACGAAGATGTTGTGTAAATGACATTGTAACAGAAGCATCACATACAACGTCAGCTCCAATCATATAGCCAATACCATAAAAGTATGGAGGATAATAACTCCATGGATATTCATGAGGTGAAACATCCCACTTTGAGTTGTAACTTTTATTTTGTGGTCGCGATACAACTGATGTTGCATGAATTGGGCCACCGACATATGACCTCATATCTGAAATTTTAATTGACTTTACGAGTTTCATTGTATTGTTCGGATGAAGTACATAATCATCGTCAATAAATAAAAATAATGGCGTTATATTCTTACAGA